AAAAATATATTTTGAAGACTATCCTAGTTATATATATTCTACTAGAGCTATCTCAAAATACTCCAATACTTTCATATATATATATGTAAAGTGATTTCTATGAGCCTCTGACCGATAGTCCCATTCTCTGCCAATTTTAATTTATGTAAGTAACATAATTTCCTGGAGGCCTATCACAGCTTTTGAAATTATGCGATGTACTTTCATTTGTAACTAAAGAAAAACCTCAACTATCCAAAGTGTTAAGAGTATAATCTCATATTTATAAATATAAGATAATAATCAATACATATATAGGGGTTTGAGCTAGGTTGAAAATTTAAGATAGAACAAATGTTTGCTGGATAAAATTATTTATTACTTAAATTAGAATGCAACAATGATATTTAGCATCAGTGATTTTGAAACATTAGTGACACTAAATGATATGTTTAATTAAATGGGTTTCATATTTCGACATATAATTAATTAGACTTATCACTTAGTGTCACATACATTGATATTTCTGCACCATTAGTGCTAGCTACCATTATTGATAGATAAGTGGGTTGGTAAGTGGGATTAGCATAGACGGACTTAATGTAAATTTGTATTTTCTTTCTACTTGTTTTCTTTTTCTATTGCATTTATCTCTTGCCGTAGTTATTTCTTGCCAACGAATTTTTACGTAATAGAACACACACAACACAACCCCAATTAAGAAAACTTGAGAGCGGGACTACATAAACTTTACATACAAACACACCATTTTCAAGGCATATTTGTTACGCGATATTAGACAGGACTATACAGTACAATGAACAAGAGTTTTATTCATTTTTCTTCCTCCATTTCTTTCAGTACAGCACTAAAAACACCATCAAGATCTTATTATCTAGGTCATGGAACCCATGGCCAGGATTGTGCTTAGATTCATTGGGGACATGTACTTCTCCGAACCATTGAACATTGCATCCACAATTATCCTGTTTGCCCTCTCCGTTGGATGGAATGGATCCCAAAAAACGTATAGATCTCTATTCAAGCATATATTGGATGCAGCTGTGCAAAGTCCTATCCCATTGTAGGGTCCCTGTCCGCAACATGCTACCTTGGACGTGATAAAACCTGTTGCAGATATCTCTTACGTTAAATTCCCAGAATATGTTTGGTCCACAGACAAGATTAATTTCCAGATTGTAGAATGGTTCGCCCCTATTTGATGGTTTCAATATTACCTTACCAATCGAGATATTAGTTCATTAATGCTACCTATAAATCAAGAAAATTAAGAAAAGAATTTCAAAATGATGGATGATGACAAACCATGGGCACGAGGATGGTAAATGACGTCGCTTTGCATTTCCAGCGAGTTAATTGAGATAAACACGGCTGAGCCAAGCTCACGATTGAGGTCTTTAAGCATTTGTTGGAGAAGGGGGTTGAATATTTTCATAACAAGGTTAGGCTCTTCTGCACATTGACCGTTTATGCTCCTAGTGGCGAGCATAACCGGAGCACAACCTATCGGCCCTATTCCGGTGACTAGAATCTGTCGGAGTCCCAACTGATGTAGACTCTGCAACATCAAATAAATTAGGTAGTTGAGAGAAATTTTGACTACACAAGTCAAAAAAGGGATTTAGAGCAGAACTAACATGTCTTTAATGTCGTAGTTAGTAAAGATAAGATGCTTTAATTGTCTGAGCAATGGACAAAATGTGCACGTGGCATGCATTGACACACGTCTACATACATGCATGCAAGTAAAAGAATTTGTATGTACCAGCAAAATCTTCTTATATTCACAGATGAGATAGGTGGAGAAATTCTGGAGACTAAATTCAAGGCTTCTTGCAGTAATTGGAGTCCAGAAGTAGTTGTTAACAAAATCATTGCCACCAAGTGTGATCAGAACTAGAGCCTTGTTCACAAGTTTCTCTGCCTGTTCTTCTCCGATTAGAGCACTAACCCGTCGTTGGTACTGCTTGAACAACAAAAATTGTTCGTAGATTCTTATTATGTTTACCTGGACCCAAAAAAAAAAAAAAAACCTTTTTACTTACAAGTAATAAAAGATCGACTTATCTGGAGATGTTTGGAAACAAAAAATTACTTACAAACTGAAACCCCGTGTCACCAAGAATTCCGACTCCAGCCGAGGCGAAGTTTGCACCAACCAGCAATTTTTTCCCTTTCAACTCGGGACTCAAGTATGGCAGTGTCAATTCAGCACCAAGTTTTTGACCTATCAATATATTTACATACGGACATATTTATTTATTTAGAGCCTGTTTGGTACAGATTTTCATTTTCTATATTAAATTAATTCTTATTTTTAACCACACATTCTTTAATAAAATAATATTTCTCATCCCATTAATATTTTTTTCTTTTTTTTCAACCACACATTTCCCATCATATCACTATTCAAATATCAATTCTTCCCCCAAAAATTCCTACCAAACACACACTTAAATTTGGTTCTTGGAAATGAAGGAGGATAAATTTTTAAAAAGTGAAGCGAAAGAGGTGGGAACTTACTGATGATATCAGGAATGCTGTAACCGTTTGAAAACCGGCCAGTGGGACGGTGAGTCGGGAAGTCAATGCCATAAGGCGGAGAGTCGGCTCTTGCAGCCGTTGCCAAGTAGTTGTTGTTGCCAGTGTCGGCTAGTGAGTCACCAAAGACGAAGAAAGCGCGGGCGGCTGCTTCGACTGGTGGCACAGCCTTGGACATTATGATCGCTGCCAAGGAAACTGCGGCCAAGATGGCACAAGAATTTGGAATGGACATGGTTGCAAATACGAACGAGATACGTATATGTGCGTGAGATGAGGGATATATAGAGAGAGGGTTTTGATCAGCCTTCAAGGGTAATGAAGATTGCTGGTAGTTTGTTGAAACCCTAATAAATTACAAAC